TGGCCAACCTTCCCTCCCTCTTTCTCTCCTTCCTTCCCTCCCTCTTTTTCTTTCCCTTTTTATTTCTCTTCTTCTTTCTTCTCTCTCCAACTGTTTCTTTCCCTTTCTTTGCTCTTTGTTTACATACTTCCTTCTCTCTTTCCTTCCTTCGTTCCCTCTCTCTTTCTGTCTTTTGTTCCTTCTCTCCTTCCTTTAATTTTTGTATTTTCTTTTCTCCTTCCTTCCTTCACTACCTTTCTTTCTTTCCTTCCTTCTCTCCTTCCCTCTTTCCTTCTTTCCCTCTTTCCCTCTTTCCCTCCTTCATTCCTTCCCTCTTTCCCTCCTTCTCTCGTTACTTCTGGACTATCCCTTCCAACTCTTTGTGGACATGTGCTGTTTCTTCCTGTAGGAATATTGGGTTTAGAAGTCCTTTCTGCTTTTTTTTGTTTTTTGTTTTGTTTTGTTGGGGGTTTTTTTTTAGTAAAGGACATGCATTGGGCTGTTAGGTGTATGCTGTCCAAATTTGGTGTCAATTCGTCCAGTGTTTTTTTAGTTATGTTAATCCCACAAATGAACATTACATTTTTATTTATATAGATGGATAGCTTCTAGCACATCAGCTGGAAACCTTGCCACTCATCCTGCTGAGATTCAGCTGAAGTCCCATCCCTTTCTGAAGCCCCAGCTCACCAAGGAAAGGTGATGGGAGCTGGCCTTTTTGGTACCATTTCCTCAAGGCACCTGCAGTATCATACAATGTGGAAAGGATTGCTTCTTTCGTTTGAACTGCCACCACCAGGAACTTCCTTCAGTAATTGTCCCAAGTCTTCACTGTTTACTGCAAGTAGTATGGTGTTATATGCATATCTTAAAATTGTTGCTATTCCTTCCTCCAATTTTCATGCCTCCTTCTCCCAAATCTAATCCTACTTGATAGAAAACATGTTCAGCATACAAGTTACATAGATAAGGGGATAAACTGCAATCTTGCCTGGCCTCTTCCCAACTGGAAACCATTCAGATTCTCTGTATTCTGTTACAATGATTTATCTGTTTTCTGACATAGATTACTGGTGTATATCAGGACAACCAAGTATTAGGGAAAAGCGATTTCTTTAAGAATGATGTATAGATTTTCATGATCTACACAATCAAAGGCTTTGCCATAATCTAAAGAACAGATTTATTTACTTCTGATATTCTTTGATGCACTCCACTAACAAAAGGTAGTTTTCCATTTCCTCCTGGACTCCGGCTTCTTCGTCTCCTGCCTCTCATGTTGAAGCATAAACATGGATTATGGTGAAATTGATGGTTTTCCCCTGAGATCTTATTAATATCATTCAGTTAGACTTTGCATTATATCTGGTGCTTACATTTGTTACATCTCCCATCATGAAGGTTACTCCACTTTGTAGATTTTCATTTCCTGAGGGAAATACTGTACGATTACACTATGCAATGAAATTTGGGGGGAAATATGTTTCTGGTTTGAAAGTGTTTTTTTCCTATCTAATTGATCAAAACTTACTTTGAAAATAGTTGTTACAGTCCAGAAACTTCATTTTTGTGGCTGCCACAAGCTATGTTGAATTGGTTGAGACTCTATGAGATAGTCATTGAAGCAAAATATGCTGCGGGATGTCCTGCAAAAACAAAGTTTTTGCAGTTTAATAAAGTTTTTCCATGTTTTATGATATAACCAATTAGGAAATGACATTTATAACCCAGGAACAAAAATCATGTTATATAGTGTTCTCTGACTCAAAATGCCCGAGTCCTCACCTCAAGCGCTGCAATGTTTACACCTTCCTTTTCTTCTTCTATCATGTCTAGTTTCCCATGATTCATGCTTCTTGCATTCAATGTTCTTCTAATATGTCTTGTGAAACTTCGGTTTCCTGTTACCTTTGAAATTGAAAACAAGACTCCAACCTCTAAACAACCAGAAGCAGAATATTTCCTTTCTCCTAGGCTTGCACAAACTGCCACACTCCAGCTGTTTGGGCTTCCAACTCTCAGAATTCCCGGCCATTGGACAAGATGGTTAGGGCTTCTGGGAGTTGGAGGCCCAAATAGCTGGAAGGCCGCAGGTTATGCAAAGCCTGCTCCATATCATGATACTGACAAAGAATTCCATTCCAATTTGGAGCCTATCAGATGCAGAGCAAAGAAGTGTACAATAGAAGGTTTTTTTTCTGTCTTTATCATAAGATAGACAATATCTTATTAGAGGAGGGGTATCTGGTCCTATCACTCCACACTTTCTCATTAGCAGCATCTATGATTCTATTTCAATTAACTTCCTCAGGATTTTATCAATTGCTGGTGTGTGATGGTGTGCGTGTGAATGTGTGTCTGCACTTTTGTAGTCTGGCTGGACTTTCAGGTCAGATACTTTCAACAGAATGAGCAGGAAGTACCAGCACTGCAGTATGGGTCTGGTTAACCACATATTTCAGTTACTGAAGCAATATGCAAAGAGATGTGCTTCTTTTAAAGTCATAATTAAAAACTACCTCAATCAGGGCCAGGGAACTCACAACCCATTAAAACCATTGCTTTCCATGGGACCCTACTGATCTGCATGGAACCCAGGGATTACAAGAGAAAGTGATCAAGGTTAACGCCATTGCTTTCCATGGGGTCCTATTCATTTGCGTGGAACCCTAAAAGATACAAGAGACAGGAAGCCAGGTTTTAACCATTGCTTTCCCTGGGTTTCTATTGATCTGCATGGAATCCCATCGGACACAAGAGACTGCTGACAGTTCGACAATGAAACAAGATGGGAAAACTCTGATGGTTCCCATCCCACCTATTTTTCAGTTGTAAAGATGGGAGTAAAGTGTGGTAAAAGGTAGAAGCTCTGAACAGGATTGCTGGCCCGACTTCATCACACTCTTCAAGGCTGCCACAGCACCAACAGGCCCAGGAAGGCCTCCCCATCACCCTCCTCAAGACCATGGCAGCTCCAGGTAATTTATTGCTGTTTGATGTTTGTTCGTTTTGGCAATGAATGTTTGTCACTTTGTTCTTTTGTCTGTAAACCGCCCTAAGTCCCTTTGGGGAGAGAGAGCGGTGTATAAATGACACATTATTAATATTATTATATTACTCGCCCCTGTTCTGAGTTCCCACCTTTCAGGACATTTCAGCATCTTTTCAACCTTGGAACATTTGATGAGTTCAGTACTTCTCCATGCTAGGAAAGAGGCTGGAGTGCTCTATTAAGGGGAAATTTCTCAATGTGATGAGGTGGTTAGAGGATGAGCCATACTCTCTCAGCCTCAGAGGAAGGCCAGGCAAAGCACTCTAAGGATTAGCACTTTATAGTGAGGGAGCGTGGCTTGGAAGTGCAAAGAGGAAGATCTGAAGCCCCCCTCAGCCCTGGAGGGACTTGGGCAGGGCACACTCAGAGGAAGGCCGTGGCAAAGCTCTCTAAGGCCAAGTGACTGAGCCTCTCAGAGTCAGATGAAAGGACCCAAAGCCCCCCCCTCCTCTCTCCCTTCCTCGCTCCCTACCCCCCAGTGAGACTTGCTCTCCCTCCCTCCCTCCCACAGTTCCTTCCGGTCCTGTGATGATGCCTGGAAGATGTCAAGGCTCTTTCCCGTCGAGGCACCCCCTGTGAGCCCTCGGGGAAAGGGGGTGCAGAAGGTGGCGGAGAACCGGGCCCTGATTTGGGCCCGCAAAGTGGAGGTGGAGCAGGCCTGGAAGGAGCCCCGCCCCGGCTATTCTCCACCCTCGGGGCGCCCCTCCCAGGCAGGGCCAAGCCAGGGCCCCAGGCGGCGAAACGACATTGGCAGGCAGCAACACATGAAAACTGATTTCTAACAATCTTTAACCTGACGTAGAGAACCTGACCACTTGGTCCTTTAGAAACCTCTCTACTGTCACTAGCTTCTTGCTTTTCAGTCAACTACGTTCACTACTTCCCTAGCTAACCTTTTATCTGACCTTAGCTAACTCCAGCTAACTGACCAACTGACTCCATCTAACTAACCAACTGACATAGAATACTCAGTTGGCCTCCTCCAACTGTCATCTTTGGCTCCGCCCATATTTCAAATCTTGGCACACACTCATTTGCATCCGGCCAATCAGGTCTCTCTCATGGGGCTCCTTTCTAACTGGATGGCCATCTGTCTGGTAGGCTTTGATGGTGTCTTCCTTTACTGCCAAATCAGGTTGGCCTGGATGGCGTTTTGGGGCTCCTTTCCAACTAGATGGCCATCTGTCTGGTAGGCTTTGATGGTGTCTTCCTTTACTGCAAAATGAGGTTGTGCTGGATTGTCTTTGGGGCTCCTTTCTAACTGGATGGCCATCTGTCCGGTAGGCTTTGATGGTGTCTTCCTTTACTGCTAAATGAGGTCGTGTTGGATGGTCTTTGGGGCTCATTTCTAACTGGACGGCAATCTGTCTGGTAGGCTTTGATGGTGTCTTCCATTACTGACAAATGAGGTTGGACAGGATGGCCTTTGGGGCTCCTTTCCAACTGGATGGCCATCTGTCGGGAAGGCTTTGATGGTGTCTTCCTTTACTGCCAAATGAGGATGGACTACATGGCGTTTTGTGGCTCCTTTCCAACTAGATGGCCATCTGTCTGGTAGGCTTTGATGGTGTCTTCCTTTACTGCCAAATGAGGGTGGCCTGGATAGCCTTTGGGGCTCCTTTCCAACTAGATGGCCATCTGTCGGGAGGGCTTTGATGGTGTCTTCCTTTACTGCCAAATGAGGGTGGCCTGGATGGCCTATGGGGGACCTCTTTAACTGTCATGGTTCAATGTTGTGGAACAATTCCACGGTGTAGACCAGCCAGGGGCATATATATTGCTGCAAAGGCTTCGGCTGGCGAAAGGGAGGCGGAGAGCCTGGGGCCAAAAGGAGGTGGAGGAGGAAGAGGAGGGTCTGTTTGGAGAATGAGAGACAGGGGGGAGGAGGAGGAGGAGGAGGAGGAGCTGCCGTCGCCGCCGGGATCCCGCATCCAGGCAGAGCTGGCTGGAGTGCGCGCGCGCACGAGGAGCAGCAAAGGCGCGCGCGCAGGCAGGCGGGCGCTCGAGCGCGCGCTCAAGTCTTCCCATTCAGCGGCGAGGCTGACCCTGAGCGCGCGGAGGAGCAAGAAGCAGCGCTTCCCTCGAGCTCTCCAGCCTTCCTGCCGAAGAGACGAGGGCTTCATGGCGCTGCGGATGCACGTCGCCAAGGTAGGTCTTCTCCCCCTGCCCGCCCGCTCACCCTTCCATTCATTCCCATTCTGAGCACGCAGCGCTGCCTCCTAGAGCTTTCCCTTGGAGTCCCGGAGCCCGAGGAGGAGAAAGTTTCCCTGCTGCTGGGGAAGGAGATCGCCTCTTCCACACACCCCGAGACCGGACTTTGGCGCTTTGGGATCGATACGGTTAGTGTAGACTCAAAGGGTGCATTGAGATGGCAGTGTGTGGGTCTCCTACACTGACCCTAGAATGCATCACAGGGGGAGAAGAGATGGGGCCCTGGAAGTGCCTCCTCTGGGGATCCACACTGTCATATCCATCCAGTTTCTGAATCCAGGTGATCTGCTTCGAACTGGGACCTATATCCTAGCATAGCAAGGCAGGAAATCCCACATTATGTGAGTGTGGACTCAGATAACCCAGTTCAAAGCAGATATTGTGGGATTTTCTGCCTTGATATCCTGAGGCTGTGTGGAAGGACCCTTTGAGTCTACACTGCTATATCAAAGGCGATCATTTGGATCCAGAAACTGGTAGTGATCTTCTGGAGAGGCCCTTCTCGCGCTCCCGCCTCCATCGCAAGCACGACTTGTGGGGACGAGGGAGAGGGCCTTCTCTGTGGTGGCCCCTCAGCTCTGAAATTCGTTCCCCAGAGAAATTAGGCAGTCTTTAGGAAGAGCGTGAACACTTGCTTGTTCCAGTGTGCCTTCAAGGAATGATTAACTGAACTATAACCTCTGACCTGACCAAACCTTGCAAAATAATATCCTTAGAAGCACTTTATTTTCTATCTACTGTTGCAATTAAACCCTACTTTCATCCCTCTGATCCCCTGTCCAGATACAATACATTTCCTTCTCACCCAGTGTTTTTAAACTTTTAATCCCTGCCCACTGTGATTTATTTTCTGTGTTTAAATTATTGTGATTTTATATTGTTGATGTTTATTTATATTGTTTCTTGTATTTTTACTTTTATATTTTATTGTTGTTGTATGTTGTTTATTTGCATTGCTGTATTGTTGGGCTTGGCCTCATGTAAACCCCCCGGAGTCCCCTTGGGGAGATGGTGGCGGGGTATAAATAAAGATTATTATTATTATTATTATTATTGTTATTATTATTAGGGAGTCAAGCGAGCCTTTGATCCCTTCTTCCAGACCTTTGCTCTCACCCTTTTTTTTTTTGGTCGCTCATGAATATTGTTTTGGAGCCATGCACCCTTCCATTTGCTCGCCTTCCTCTCTGTTGTATGAGCACCCGTTCTTTGTTTGGCATCCAGGGACTGGCGCTGAAACCTTCCCCAGCAGATGGTCAGGGAGCCCAAGTTGTGGCCAGGCATTCCCTGCAAGTTTTTCCACATCCCCAGTGAGCTGCCTCGGATCAGCTGCTGGAGCAGGCATGGGCAGACTTTGGCCCCTCCAGGTGTTTTGGACTTCAGCTCCCACAATTCCTAACATCCGGTAGGTTGTTAGGAATTGTGGGAGTTGAAGTCCAAAATACCTGGAGGGGCCAAAGTCTGCCCATGCCTGTTCTGGAGTGTGAATATGTGCAAATACTTTTACAGAAGCAGCACATGGCTGCTTCTAAGCTCTGCCCAGCCTGCTTTCCTGGACCTAGAGCTTCCTAATATCCTGCCTGTTTCAAACCAGACTTCTCTGAACAGCCAAAGGATATTTTTTCTACTTAAACTCCAGACTGTAATTGGATATTGTGTGGAGGAAAAAAAAAAGCCGTATCCCATATTTCGCTGCAAGGTTTTTCTCTATCTGCCTTTGCCAGTTGCTCAATTATACTCTGAAGTTGTTGTGTTCCCTTGAAACTTTGCCTAGAATCATTTAATCCTAGAGTTGGAAGAGAACCCTCAGGGCCATCGGGTCCAACCCCATTCAATCAAAACACTCCTGACAGATGGCCAGCCAGCCTCTGCTTTAAAACCTCCAGAGAAGGAGTCCCCGGCAGTCTATCCCATCATCAAACAGGTCTTGCCTTTAAGATAGTAGTTCTCAACCTGTTCTCAACCCCAGATGTTTTCTCCTACAACTCCCAGAAATGGAAATTCACTGGGCTCTCAGAAAGAAATCATCTATTCCCATGCCAGCTGGGTTAGAGTCCCAAATTATTTATTTGTGACATTTATATGCTGCTCTTCTCGCCCCGAAGGGGACTCAGAGTGGCTTACAAGATATATATGCATACAATACATTATATTATTAGCATAGTACAATATCAGTATTCAATATTACTATATTGTACTATGGAGCCCCTGGTGGCGCAGTGGGTTAAACCACTGAGCTGCCGAGCTTGTTGACCGAAAGGTCGCAGGTTCGAATGTGAGGAGCGGCATGGGCTTCTGCTGTCAGCCCCAGCTTCTGCCAACCTAGCAGTTCGAAAACATGCAAATGTAAGTAGATCAATAGGTACCACTCCGTCGGGAAGGTAACGGCACTCCATGCAGTCATGCTGGCCACATGACCTTGGAGGTGTTTATGGACAACGCCTGCTCTTCGGCTTATAAATGGAGATGAGCACCAAACCCGAGTCAGACACGACTAGACTTAATGTCAGGGGACAACCTTTCCTTTAACCTATATTGTACTAAACCATTATATTGTAATATTATTAGTAATATTGCATGTAATATAAAATATATAATTATAATATATTATTATTGGTATTATACCGTATTACATTATAATATAAATATTATACGTATATACAATATATTATATTATATTGCATTATATTATTAGCATAGCACAGGAGACAAGGTGGAACTGCCCCATCCCCCCCTCCCCCCTTTTCACTCTGGCCCAGAGCAGCAATTAGTGCTGGGGGGAGGGGTCCCCAACTGATGACATATGCAGGAGACAAGATGGAACTGTCCCTTGCCCCCCCCCCATTACTATTTCAAACACGAAAACCAGTGGTTCTCAACCTGTGGGTCCCCAGGTGTTTTGGCCTACAACTCCCAGAAATCCCAGCCAGTTTACCAGCTCTTAGGATTTCTGGGGGTTGAAGGCCAAAACATCTGGGGACCCACATTTTAAGAACCATGACTTTAAAAAGATCTGCTTGATGATGGAATACACAAGGACTCCAAGAAAAAGATCTTGCAGTCCTTGTGAACAACAAGTTGAACATGAGCCAACAATGTGATGCGGGGTTAAAAAAGCCAATGGGATTTTGACCTGCATCAGTAGGAGTCTAGTGTCTAGATCCAGGGAAGTCATGCAACCCCTCTATTCTGCCTTGGTCAGACCACACCTGGAATCACACTGTGTCCGATTCTGGGCACCACAATTCAAAAGAGATGTTGACAAGCTGGAATGTGTCCAAACGAGGGTGACCAAAATGTTCAAGGGTCTGGAGAACAAGCCCTATGAGGAGCAGCTTAAAGAGCTGGGCACAGTTAGAGAAGGCTGAGAGGATACATGATGGCAATGTATAAATATGTGAGGGGAAGTCATAGGGAGGAGGGAGCAAGCTTGTTTTCTGCTGCCCTGGAGACTAGGATGCAGAACAATGGCTTCAAACTACAGGAAAGGACGTTAGGAAGAACTTCCTAACTGAACATCCACTTGAACATTAGAAAGAACTTCCAAACTGTGAGAGCTGTTCAGCAGGGGAACTCTCTGCCCCGGAGTGTGATGGAGGCTCCTTCTTAGGAGGCCTTTAAACAGAGACTGGATGGCCATCTGTCTGGAGTGCTTTGAATGTGATTTTCCTGCTTCTTGGCAAGCAGTTCAACTGAATGGCCCTCGAAGTCTCTTCCAACTCTATGTTTTTGTGATTCTAAGTTCTTCTGAATGTTTAGTTCTAGTTCAGGCATGGACAAACTTCGGCCTTCCAGATTTTTTTTGACTTCAACTCCCACAATTCCTAACAGCTGGTAAACTGGCTTGGGCTTTCTGGGAGTTGAAGTCCAAAGCACTGAGAGGAGAAAAGTTTGCCCATGCCTGGTCTAGTTGGGCTTTCATTTCCAGCGCCTGTCATATTTGTTTTCCTAGACACTCTCTAGAAGTAAGCCCTGCTTTGTTGACTGGCCTTACTTCCTAGTAAGCAAGTTCAGGGAGTCCCCAGGTTAAGAACAAGAGAGGTTCTGTAGGTTTGGTCTTAAATTGAATTTGTATAGAAGTTGGAACAAGTCCTTTTTTAAGTGTAACTCCAGCCGAATACACATACACACATGCACATACACACATACAATCTTTGGATAGCATATAGGGAAAGGTTAACACCCCTGCGGTGTTTGTTTTGCCACTTGTGCCCCTGTTCAGAAGATTTCACCTCACTTTCAGTCACTGAGATAATTGGATTGTGGAAAATGTGGCTTGTTGTGGAGACAAGGATTGGTGAGAAAACATCTCCCATGAAAACTCTTCCAGGAGCGAATTTCTCTTCCAAGGAGTTGATTTGTCTCAATTCCTGTTGTCTCAAACCTGTTTGTAACTATGAGTTGTTTGTAAGTCGGAGTTTTGTAATTCTGGGACAGCCTTTATAGGGGTGGCAAGTTTTTTTTCAGCATGTTTCCCATTTCTGCTCTCCACTTTATCTGAAAACTTTTGTGTATTTCAGAAAATGTAGAAGTGGGGGTCTTAGGGAAAAACATAGAGATGCGGAGTTGTCTGTTCTGCTCCACAGTCACACAAAATGTGGGCCTCCTCGAAGACTGAGTAAATACAGTCAGTCGTCCCCATGGCAATGTTTCTTATAAATGGCTAATCTTTCCAAATCAAAAGGATTGCTTTTAAACGTTTGAAACATTTAATTAATGACAATAAAGTCATTATTGTCAATTAGATTATTAGTGCTTTATTGGTTCACTGAGCCAGTACACCCTGTCAGCCTACTTTGTATAGTTTGCTTTATCCCTTATCTAGTAATGCAAAAAGGGGAGGCAGCTAGCAGACCACTGAGCATGTCTAGAAGGCTGCATTTAGTCTAAGGAATCTCACCTTGCATAATGTTTTACTTCAGTTTTATTTGAAGCAC